CAAATGGTCACAGCATCCTTTAAATGAAGTTACATAACCCAAGATAGCTGTGTATCAAAGTAACAACCAGAAGAGAGAATTTGTTTTATTTCACGATGAATAGGCTAACTTTTGCACTTTTGCTTGTTACTCAGCCTTCCAAACTCCAACTAGAAGTCACTTTTCTTTTGCAAGTGAGAAATAAATCTCCCACACCATGTTAGAGATTCAGAAAACCATCTAGCAGAGAAAAACACTTTTGGCTACAAAAGAATCGTACAGAAAATCAGAACAAAGAATGTCTCAGAACACTGTGTTCTCAATCACAGCTGCTCTCGCAGATCTGGGCTCTTAACTCTATAATTGCCTTATGCCTGTTGTATCATTAGAGGAGTCCCATCCCTTCCCCAAGCATAACATTACAAAGTCTCCATTAAACACAAGCTTGCAATGAATTGTATTGTTTAAACCTCATCTATAGCTCAGGGGTTGAAGTGGGCCGGCACACCTTCAATTGATGAGCATTGAAGTCTGATAAGCAGATTAATGCTGATGAAGTATTACTGACGAATTAGCTCATTTGTCGTATGCTGCAGCCTGGCGTTGTTTTCTTTCTTTTTTTCAAACAGCTGGACAAACAGGACGAGTATGGACTAATATGTATATTTAGCTCTCAGCAACACTTTGTGACAAACATTTGTGATAAAATGCGTCTGCTAGCTAAATGTCTGCAGGTGTATTTGCCAGGGAGAGAAAAGGAAACGTTGATGTACGACACTGAGAGATGGAGGATGATCTAAGAAAGAGCACGGGAGAGGAAGATGAGAGATTATTTTCAAAGCTAAGAACTGCTCAGTAAGTGCAATTTGATAAACTGGAAACTTTTTAAATCCCACATTTGATTTGTACATGATGATGCTGAATTACATTTTTGGCTATTTAAAGGTTCCTATGTATATAATTATATAATGTAATGTGTTTTCCTAGTCTTACTGACCACTCAAAGCATTTTAAACTATAAGTCACACATTTTAACCATACATTCTCACACAGCACTTGATGCTATTAACCTCACATCCATGGCCATTTTCAATTCACAAATTAGCCTAACATGTATGTTTTGGGGCTGTAAAAAGAAGTCCACATATGTACAAGGAGAACATGCAAACTCCACACAGAAGGCCTGTAAGCTCTAAGGTGGCAGCACTATGTTGACCACAAAACAGCACAAAAATACTGGCAACCGTCAGTGCTATCCCTCAGCCTACCAGCATACACAGCTATAGCATCAGTTTCAAAATCCTGCTTTGCCTTGTTCTGAAGTTATTGCAGTTATTGCACAAGATTTTGGAAATCCTGTGTGACTTCCTTTTTGAGTTATGTGTTCAAAAGATTTTCAGAGAACTTGACCTTTGACCTTGAGGTTGAGGTCACTGAGATTCAAACTCATCCTAGATTGTTAGAAGATGTACCCTTGGTATCACATCGCTTTCACAAACTTAGGTGTCCACGCTGCGTGACGACAATACCCCATCTGCCTTTTACGGCTGTTGGGTAAAAAAACAGCTGGCCAATTCAAGTTCTTATCATCATGCGCCCTCTACTGGCTGTTTCATGCTTCTACATCAAACATTAACAACCTGTGGAGCTCTGACAGAAACTGCAACAAACGATTATTTGCTTTAAGTGTGATTTCCTGTATAAATTAAAATTATGAAATCAACATTTTCTTTATCTCTGTTGTATTTTTTCATAAAGGCAAAGGCTCCATGGAGGAACTTTGAACTGATATTTAAGATTTTTGAGATATTTAGCTGTTAATGTGCATTAGCAGTTCCATCAGTCATTTCCCCCTCTTCTTCTTCTTAGAGAAGTAAAATAACAGAAAGCACTGCAGTTTCGTTATTTACCTATATGAACTTATTTGGTGCCAAAATGCCATCTGTTTAAACTGAGTCACCCAGGATTAAATACACACACCCTCTGTCCACTGTCTTATCCTTTAAAACTCAGTCTAGACTCAGTTGACCACAACAGCCCGTCAGATTTTGATATTTAACTTCAGACACACAGTCAATAAAAGACACATTTTTCAGATTTTTTTCCCATATATCTTTGTTTTTTATCAAAAAAACAAAAAACATTGACGTTGTCTACATCACAGACAAGAATCATCAATATTCTGTTTTAAACAATTTCGCCATGAACAGAATGAACCCCATGCCCATCCCACCCCTGGAGCAAACTCCTCTATACACAGTATACTTTACATACCTATAGTTCCTGTTCAGCCTTTGTACATTTTACATCATTATCAAAGTAGTATCAATAGATTTAAAATACATACAATACTTTTCCATTGTAATTATAATCGCTATCCTGATTGTACATACAGCATCATTTCCCACACTTAGAGTTCTGTTGAGCAATTTCTGTGCCTCCTTTTCATCAGCATGTTCTTATAAAATATCCAGAAGACACAACACGAGTCTCCGTAATTCACCAAAACAGAATACTTGGCAGATTTTAGATGATTGGCAGATGAGAAACATTTCGTAACTACCGCTGTGTGTCATGAGAGAGGAATAGTTACCGCTGACTGCTGCTGACGTAGTTTTGAATACACAAATATTTACCGCAATCTACAGCTTTTATTTACGTGTTCCTCAGGAACCATTCTCAGACTCTCCGAGGGGCTTTGCCACCAACTGTTGCGTCTGCTCGGACATGAGATTATGAGGTACAGTCAGAGAATCTCGGTAATCCCCAATTAGACGAGCTGTGGTGAAGGAATAACAAAGAGATTATAAAAGATCACCACAACCAAAAGAGTAACACAAGTTATAAAAGTGGAACAAGTCAAAAGTATTTGTATGGATTTGTTAAAGTTCTCGGTATTGGCCAAAAACGCTAGAAGTAGTGGGCAGTGCTGAATCGATATATAAATATTTTTACCACTCAGGATTAAAAACAGACTGATTTGTAAAAAAAAAACTGATTCAACCTTTGTGTTACCTTGGTGACAGAGGTCCTTAACCGTGCGGGTGAAGCTCACCATTCACACATAAAACTTTGGCACCACAGACAAGTCTGTTACAAAAAAAAAAAGGTCGCACACCTCGAACTAAATATGAAAAAAAAATGTGAGGAAGACTTTAATTGTTTTTTCTACGCACTGACAATGACAACTGATTAACGGCCAAACACGAGTATTCACAGCCAGGCACTTGTGTCCTTTCAGATGTGAGTCGAGGGCTGGGTCAGTCGGTGAGGAACATCTGGAGGGAGGGCGGTAAACTATGTGGAAGTTTTTACCTACAGGATTAAAACACACGCATTTGTCTTCGCGTCTAACAGCGCGCACGTAGCAGTGTCACAATTATACGCTTAGTGACAAATCAAAGTTTCTAAATGTGGGAAAATCTACCAGTGTCAAAAATACTACATCAAGAAAGCCATCTTTGTTTGTACCCTGTAAACGCAAGCCAGAGCCCCGGAGAGTGTAGTTACTGCGGGCGGGCGGCATTGCAACACAACATAGAGTTGACCCTTTCTTTTTATATCCGCTAACAACACATCCTTATTCAATATTCAGTATCACCACAAAGGCTACTTGCCAGTATGGTACTGGATACAGTATGCAAGCAGTCATTAACTATAAATCACACAACCTTCAGAAAAAACTTGCTTATCACAAACTTTGACTGAATTTTAACAACTATTTTCGGGGGTTTTTCTTCTTCTTTTTTTCGCCCAATGGCTGATGAAGAAAAGTGATTTATCTTAAGTCACATCTATGAGTTTTTTTTAAGACCTTTTTGGCAATTGCTCTGACAGCAGCAGATTACAAATGGAATAAATGAGAAAGTCATGTGTAGGAGCAGGAATGGCACTGTTTCATAGTTTAGATCTCAAGTTTGAGAGAGAAAATAAAGCGTGACAGAGAAGTAGAACTATTCACACCTTCTGGGATCTGAATCCACATCCCCAAAAAATATCTGAACAATACACACGTGTGTTAATACTGTTTCAGGGTTCAATTTTTGTTTTCGTTTTTTCTTTTCTTTTTTTTTTGTTGGGTGGGGGGGGGGGGGTTCAAACCAAGCAGCTGCATTAATTTCTTCCCAGTGTAGAGACAGGGGAAGTTAAATTATAAAAGAGATTAAGTATGAGTTTACATTAAAGTCTCCAGCATGAATAAGTGGCTGGTTGGTGGAGGGCAAGGGTAAAAAGAAAAGGAGAGTTGGGGCACAAGTGGACACATCCCAATGTGTGAATATGCTAAGATGAAAAAGTGAGCTTTTCCTTTCATTTTTTTTTTAACTTTTTGGTTTTTCTTTTCTTTCTTTTCTTTTTTCTTTTTTTCTTTTTTGGCCAAACCACAGCTTGATAAAGCCAAACACACGAGCGAGGGTGTGTGCTTACATTGTGGCTGAAGTGTTAGGCACTGCAAAAAAGAGCATGAGATTGTTTTACATGTTTCTGATTCTAAACACAGTAAGGCAATTTGATTATGGTTGAATGACAGCAATGTAAGTTCCCAGCCTTTTCTCTCACGATCAACAAATGCTCAATTTAGACTCAGGCAAGAAATAACACTTGGGTTTTTTTGTTGTTCTTGTTGTTTTTTTCCATTTTCACAAACCCCTTCATAAGATTACCTGTGTAAAAAACAGCTACAATCAAAAATGAGGCACTTTATAAAAATTATAATATATATATATATATATATGATATATTAATATATATATATTTTATATAATATATAATAATATATATATAATATATATATATATACACACACACATATAATATATATATATATATATATATACATATATATAATATATATATATATATATATATATATATATATATATATAATATATATATATATATATATATATATATATAATATATAATATATATATATACACGTACATATATATATACACACATATATATATATATATATATATACACACATATATATACATATATATATATATATATATCTAGGCTAAATAGTATTAATCAATATATGTATACTGTATATTTTGTATACCATTGTAATGTGTTACTTTATATAAGAATTGTGTTAACTGTTATGCAAATGAGAAAAAGTACAGCACGTACTATAGTTTCTGTTATTCTATACTATAGTATACACTATAGTATAATATACAGTTATAACAGCTCAGTTGCAAAAAGTGTTTACACTTTGATGTTTCCAATGATTTTGTGCTACACAATTGTTCAAAATGCATAATGTAAATAAAAATAGGATTCAACAAATTGTAAAGCTCATAAACCCAAATTTTATTCACAGTAAGGCTTAGAAAATATATCAGATTTTTTACTATTTCATGAAAAACATTAGCTCATTTGGAAATGAGCTGCTATTTTAATTAAAATTGTACCTTTTCTCCATTTGAACACTTGATATTTGTTTTCCTATATTCTAATGTGAGTTAAAATTTGGGTTTATGAGAATTGCAAATCATTGCATTCTTTGTTTTTTTATTCACACAGCCTTGTAATATTGTGTATGATCTGTCCTCATAAAAACATGAAGGGACTGTTAGGGACTCCAAAATTGATTCTTTTCCTAAGATATTTACTGATTTTGTTTTCTTTTATACACTAATTACAAAGATGGCTTACATTTTGATTTAACTTACTATTTTCAACTGGCTGTGTGGCGTTTGAATCGTGTAATTTGACAGTCATGTGTCAGTCTCAGCCAATGTACGGTTATCAAGTGGAATTGGGGGATAACTTGAGCGCTCAGATTCATTAGAGAGCTGTCGCGTGTGCTCAGTTCATGTGTAATAACTGCTTACGTAGCGATTCTTCTCAGTTAAACATAAAGAAGAGCTAGAATGGACTATTCATAATTTGGACAAAATTTGGTATATCTGTTGTTTTTAAATTAAGTCTGACATTTTTTCTTCTATGCCAAAGCAGACAAGCAAGAATATTAGGTCAATCTGGTCATTTTAATCAAGTGTTTCGCTCATTCATGGTTAATGAATTGATTTTTGAGCATCTATGTAAGTTTTTTTCTGTATAATTGTGACATCAATCACTTTCATAAAATGCCTGTATGACAGCGAAGGCTTTCATGTGACTTCTTCTGCTGGATTTATGCTGTAAAACAAATACAGCATATATGAGTCCAGTGAAATTACTTTTCTTATGCCAGCTGCAGCTACTGAAGGTTATTAAACTGTCACTTAGGTTTGGGAATAAGGATGAAGGGGATCATGAGTTTGCTATCAAACCCTGAACACCACATAGTGTATAAGTAAATCCATTAAATATCCCAAAATACCACAGAGGAGCTTTCACTAGGCTTTAACAATGGCTACATTTTGAAAACGAACCACATGGCATGATGGGACATGTTAAGTTTATGCGGCTACATAAACATATATCCTGCGTGAGTGCACATGTGGAGCTTTGGGGATAAAGCTGAATTCTGTGTGAAAAAACACAGACTTTACACTCTAATGCATTTCACAAAGATTGCATAAGCTATGTGGGATTTTCACACAACCACTTCCCTATTGTCTGCAAAAAACTGACAGGAAACTGTGTTTTCATCTCTATAGCGCAAATCCGTTGCCAATTCCATCCACCACCCCAGAAAGAAGCACATTTTGAAGTCCTTCGGTAGCACAAAACCAGCGATCAATAAGTGTAAAGTCTTTTTTTTTTGCAACTGTGTATGATAAATCAAATACATTTACAGTGGCAGGGTGTGTACGTGTATGAGCCCTCTGCCAAACTGCGTTTTCCTTCTCAGTTTGATGATCCTTTAACTTACATGGACAAAGGATGGTGTAGCATAAATAGTAATACAAAGGCAAAAACCACAGGATCCAATAATTAACACTCATTAAAACTCAGCTGAGATTGCTTCATTATAGCAGCTGCCACTTGAAATCTTGAGACACAAGATTCCAATAGACTGGCTCAAACATCAATTAAAAGCAAATAAGGACATTTTTCGAGATTCCCTGAAAGTGTTTTTGAAATACGAGCGTTAGTAACATGATAATATAGATCAAGTAGGCAAAAAGAAGAACAGGCTGTCCATGAATGTCATAATGGCCACCTGTGAGCTCACACCATTACACACCTAACTGTCATCCTTTATCTATATGAAGTTAAATGATGATCAGATGTTCGTTTTTTTATTATTAAAAACAAGGTAAAAAAAAAAAAAAGAAACTTTTTCTTTACCCTGTGACTGTGTGTTGTGTATATGTGTGTGTGTATGTGTGTGTCTGTGTGTGTGGTGTGTTTGGCACACGTTTGGTTGACAGAAAACAGCAGACGGGATGGGGATGAGTTTTCCAGGGTTTCAGTGTTCAGACTCCAGTGTACAGTTCTGTTGTGGCAACAGATCGGGCTGCCACCCGTCCCCTGACGGACTGTCACTCTGAGATCCAAGACGAAGATGGAGATCAACAGTCTGGGAGGAAAGAATCAAAGATAGTCGTGAGCTTCAATCGTATACCACAGCTTTCTTTTTATTGCTCCTTATTGTGCTTTATTTTTAAAGTATATATACTCACCACAATTTACGTAATAATCAAAGTAAATTAGATTTAAGTCTCCACACAGAAAATGTTAGAGAAAGAAAGGCAGCTCATGCTAGGTGATCTATTCACCAAAGCATATTGCTTTTGTTTAATCTAGAGCTCCTGCTGGCTGGTTGGGTAAATATCACATGACCCTAGATATCTTTCTAAAAGGATTTTCTGATTGGTTTCATGCACGATGTTGCAGATGTCAATATTATGTGTCTCTGTGTCAAGCTTTATCAGCTCCAGGCATTTTCATATGTTTCTTCCCTTTATGATCCACCTGAGCAACAAGAAGTCACTGCCCTGACTCTGATCCTGTCAGGAAAATGAAGTCAGCGGCACCGACAAGCAAACATCTTGGGTTTATCACTTGTGACCTACAGAAAAGGATCCCGTGAAATAAATTCATTAAAGAATAATCTCGCGGCGCAGCCGCAAATACTTAATCAAGATAAGCTCGGAAAGGAGCGCAAATAAATGAAAGTGCGGTTTGAAAAGCTATGAGTCAGTCTAACCACTTGCCCCGTGCATCATTAGTGTCAAATGTCTGTCTGCCGCCTCAACACTCTGGCCGTCTCTACCCAGGTATGCTTGCAGCTTTGTGCACTAGATTTCTGTTTCACCATTCAGCTGATGACGACCAGCTTTTGCTTAATTTCTTAAAATCTTTAGGTGAATACAGTGTATTATATAGGCTGTGTGCGCTTGCCATACTATAGCTTTCATACAGTTAGGATTAGAGCCCATGTTTTTTAATTATTACTCATTACAGTTTAATATTGTTTTAACTGATGGTTAATTGAGGTTTAATTTCCTTACATGCCTTTAAATGGAAAACCAAACTGGCTGCCAGTTTATAACGATCACATGCTACATGTTCAGACATTTTCATAGCGTTGGATAAATGCTCTTTATCTGAATAAATAAAATGCGCGCATGTGATTGGTCCTCTCACAAATATTAATATTAAACTTTTTATTTATTTTTTATTTTTCACATGCAGCCTTTAACGGTTTAGTTCTTGACATGCGCATGCAAAAATCATATTCAGCCACTAAGCGTTTAATAACTGTCATCTGAGCAATGTGAGGGAAACCTCGAAGCTGCCATGTGAAATGCAACAGCCAACAGGACACCCACACATAAATATAAACACCTTGCTTGCGTTCTGTCCCCTCTACCTCCATTTATGTGAAATGGCTCATTACCAGCAGACAAATCAATTGGCTCTGCTCTCTGAACACCCACTTGCGATAATAAGAGACTCTACAGACAACCCACAGACTGGAAATATGGCGCTGCCCACCAGCTTGAAGCCAAGGTACACATCAGTAAAAGATGAAAGGAGAAAGAGTGACTAAGACCCAGACATGAGCTCTGTCTGTGGATTATGCACTCACATGAAAAAGTTTTCGCTAGACAAATATGATCAAGAATCATATTTTAACTTGTGTTTTTGCCTATTTAAAAACAATAACATATTCTTCTTGCTCTCATTAAACATCAAAGATTAGGGCTGATCTAATCTTTTCATAAATGGATTATATTATTCTGATGTTACGATATTTATTGTCTTAATAGAGATACAGTTTTGGCCTTTTTTGCTTAAATGATCGGGATTGTTTTTAACTATTTGATTGACAGTAAGTAGATATTTTCAGAAATCACATCAAAAATCATTTCCAGATTTGAATTATTCTCTAAATTGAAGGAAACAACTGCAGTGTCAAACACACGTAGTCGTTTAGCCTTGAGGCCAAAACTGACAAAACAGAAATCTCCAGCCAAGATATAAAAAGAATTATAAATGTATCTGCAGAATATATATTTAATTTTCTTAACACTAAAGATCTAATCATAACTTATCACTCTACAAGTAGTAAATAATTCAACATGAACTGGCTTTGTAGTGCTTACCTTGACCATCTTTTCTACTGTTCTGGTGTGCTCTCAATTCTTCTGATTTATAGAAATCAATACTGGCATAAGTGTTGAGGCTGGAGCCAGCACTGCTACCCATAGCGCTTCCTCCCATGTTGTAGGCAGAAGAGGTGTGCTCCACTCCAGCTTGAGGGCTCTCCTTAATGGCCAAGTCAAGGTCAATATAATTAAGGCCTTGTTCTCCAGATGAGGTGGAGGCTTGAGGTGGAGGTGTGGCAGACATACTAGCAGCCTGCCCGCTCTCCCACAGTGAGCAGTCCAAACCATGCCGATGGCCCACTGCCTGGCTGCCCTCTGGGAAGAGGGAGGTAGAAGAGGATGCGTGGCGTGGTAGTGAGGGAGGTGAATTAAATGTCTCTGGGCAGTGGCTTAGGCGTCCCTGCTGGTCACCTCGGACCAGTCTGCTGCTCCGCTCCGGAGACTGGAAGGACTTGACTGGGGAAAAGCCCAAACCTGTCTCCTGCTCCACAGGTAAGGGTTGACCAGAGTGGATGGCAGGTCGTGCTGAAGTGCTGGGATCTGAGGCTTTGCTCTCCGTAAATGGAGGCGGGACTTCTGTCAGCGCTGCTGCTGTCTTTATTTTTGTTCTGTAGCCCACGTTGCCCTCTGCGGCCAGAGGAGAGGACGTGCCGTGCTCGTGTCGGGCCTTGGGGGTAACAGCTGGTGGGCCCTGTTGGGTGCTGAATGTGGATCTAACATGAGTCACTGGTGTTGAGGATTTCCCTAAATCCATGCTGACGTACTCAGCAGAGGTGGACAATGGTGCAGAGAAGCTGCGGGGAAGGTTAGCAGGATTATCATGGCAGAGGAGCGGTTGATTGACGGGTCGGAGCGTTCCATGGATCACAGGACGTTCGGAACCTGCACATCGTCCTTCGCCATATTTACTGTCTTCCTTGAAGACAATACTGACATACTCACCAACATTCTGAGACACTGATGGCGGCAGATTTTCTTTAACCCTGGGCAGCGTGTTTGCTTTAGTAATGTCTGAAGACATGCTGAGGGGACGACCCCGCCTTTGTTGCTTTGGACTCTTACTGCTCGATGCACGTTTTTGGTGGTGACGCCCATCTTTCGTGCTTGTTCCTGCACTCTTGTATTCTGCTCCGGTTCTTAATAAACTTAACCCTCTCCCCGCTGATATGGACTTGTCTTCGAGGCTTTCACTACTGGCAGAGCTAGAGGAGAAAGAAGAGGAAGACATGGAAAGTTGGCAGCTTCCAGCAGCGCCCATTGCAATTTTGTTTCTCTTGCTATATCCAACTCCTCCTCCCCGTCCAGCACTATCGTGCCCACTGCCATCTTTTTTTCCTTCTCCTTTGTTCAAGTCATCCTCAAAGCGAGTGTAGAGAGTGTGTTGATAAGCTCGTGGCAGTGAGAAGTAGGAGTTGAACATTTTTGGTTGAAGTTGGTGCTGTTCAGGATGGGAAGGCGGTGTGCTGCAAGCAGAGCGGCTGCTGACAGGTGAGATGTTCATGTAGTCACTGGCAGCCCGGCTCTCCATGTTGCCCCTGCTATCCCACATGCCTAGTCCATGCAGGTCTGTGGAGCTGCTGCTATTGGGAGACATGACCATGTAGCCCTCTGAACTGGGCTGGCGGATATGCTGAGGGGGGGACACGCTGTTGTTGGGGGTCATGGCCATGTATTCGTCATCTGCCCCGGGTTTAGTACCGGAGTCAGAAATACCTATTGAGAGAGAAAGTGAAACAGGAGGAGATGTCACTCCAGGCAACATTGACATATAGCCACTATCCACAGCTGCGCCTCTGTCCACTTCTTCCCCGCTTTTGTCAGACCTCTTCCTATTCTCCCCTACAAGTTGCCCACCCCCAACTCTCAGTCTGCCTGAATCATGGTGCAAATCAGCTCGCTGTGTGTTAGCGCTCTGCGACATGATGGCGTATTCTTTGTCGTCCTCATCATCTTCATCTTTTCTATGTGGAGTCAGCCGCTCGTGGGACGCCACAGGCAGGGAAGCCCTCTTACTGAGCAGTCTGCGTTCTGCCTCTGATTCACGACTGGATGAACGCCGCAGTATCCGTCTGCCTTTGGAGCGATGATGGGAACCAAGCAGACTCTCTCGCTGTCCCATGACGATATAGCTAGAGGAGCCTTCTCCATGTACGTGATGTCCTGACAGGCTTGGTAGGAGCAGAGAGTGCTCGCCGGGACTGGAGCCGTACTCATCTGAGGATCCATAGTCGCTCGGTGAACCTGAAACAGAAACTCTTTGTGATACACGAGGGTAGGAGCAGATCGTCATGCCTCCCACCGCTGCCCCCACTAGTCCACACTCTGAGCCATGACCAGAGCTGGAGGACAGACTCGGCGCAGGGGAAGGAGCAGGGTTAGGTGTGTAACGTGCAAGGCTGAGGGTAATCTTAGCAGGGGTTGGGGCCCGGGTGGGCTTGGGTCTCAGAGTTGGGGTAGTTGAGCAGGATCCATTGAGACTTGGGCTGGAGCTGGCCCACGTCCCTTTGGCACTTGCTCCACTCTCCTCCGACCTGGCTCCGATGCTGGCTGTTCGCGCCCTTGGAAACCCGTGGCGCGATGTAGGTGATGTGCTCGTGCTGCTGCCTCCTGTTCCGGGGGTCTCCGTGCGTGCCCGTCTCGAGAAGCCCACCTGGCTCGGTGGCAGATTTGGGTGATGACGACGGCTCGGGACACTGATGGGATTTGAAGCAGTACCACCTCCACATGATGTTCCCACAGACTGAGATTTACTGCGCTGACGGAACTCCTCACTAAGGGCCTTCATGGCCTCCAGCAGGGTCTCGTGCATGTTCTGAGCCACCACGGAGTCATCCACCTGCATCCAGAACTCTCCGGGGCCAGTAATAGCTGAGCGCCCCACCTCAATGAAGAAAAAATTCTCTGAATGACCACATCTTCGGACATTCATCAGCTGCAACACTACAGAGGCCACATCAGAGTTGAGCTTGACAAAGTTGACTGTCTTGTCAGTTAGGCACAGCCGGTAGATGCCTACTAAATTCCTGGCATGTCCAAGACCTTTAGGCCAAACCTTGACCTGCCACACTTCCTTGAAGGTTGGAACAGGAGATGGAGAGCTACACTCTCCACTGCTTCCATAGTCTTCAGGGGTTTTACCTAGAAAAACAGTAAAGAACAAATAAAACAATTAGGGGGTTTAATGATTACACACATACATGCAAGAAAAAAAGAGGGGTTTAATTCAAACATAGCCTGCTGAAATACTAACGAAAGCCAAAATGACAGTAATAAGTAATGCTTTGTTACTCTATCGTAAGTAAATTGCCATATGCAAGAATACTGCCAAACAGCTGTGCTGCAGCCAATTCATCACCATCACTTTTAAGCTACAGCTCATAATTAATTAAGCCTTAAAAGCTATAGAAAGCATCCACTAAAAAGCATCATGCTCAACTGTGATACAAGACATTGTAATTCTGCTCAGTGCCAATCAAGTAACAAATTGCAGAATCCCCCCTCCCTCCCCGCCCCAGCCCCCCTCTCACAATCAGTGTTTTTTTCAGTAAACAACAAACAGTCTGCTGGTTTGCTACAATCCACCAGAGAAAGAGAAAATATTAGCAATGAACTCCACAGAAATTATTATAAGACATAATATATTAATGTGCTTCAATCTATCTCTCTCTGTTTTTTGTTTGTTTGTTTTTTTTGCAAGACTCTCGCCTAATTACGATCAGCTGCACATTAAAATTAAAATAAACAGACATTGTTTTATTGTGACTGTGCCTGAGCCATACTCTGAACAAAATGGGGGTCTTCTGTGCTCTAATGTGTGTCTGTTAAGGGTTCCACAACCACATATTAGAGCTGGGCAAGCCCATCAGTCTCAAATAACTGAAATGCAAAGGGAGAACAGGCAGGGTGGGTGGTGGTGGTGGTGCTCAGCTCCGGCATAAGGATAACAACGTAAACACGAGGATAACCAACAGAAACACAATTTCCAGCGCAGAGCGCACTAACGATGCCATCTCCTCCCTACCAGCAGCAGCACCGCGCAACGCAAATGTAGGTTAGGCGAATAGCAGTCGGAGCTGTGCAGAAAAACAAAAACACGGGCTCCAGCGGAGTGCACCGCGATAGGCTGCTACTATATGATGCATCCCTTGGATGGTTGCTATATGCCCACTGCGCCATGCAGAAGCACACCGTCGTATGAAAACGGACTGCATTTTGGTCACAAGAAGCGATCATCTCGTGTTCTTACAGGCGGATGCTGTTTAACGCATCAAATTATGTTTTTGCTGACGGATAATAATCCGCAGGTTGTGACTGTATTAAAGCACTGCTTATTGAGATTGTGCTGCACAAACACACAGCACATGCCGCCCATAGCGTGTCGGTCTAACCCGTTCAATAGGATCCACCTGCCTCTTGGTTAAAATACATCACCCTCCAAACTGCATTGCTCACACTATATGGGTACAATTAAAACACAAAAACCTACAAACCTAAAAATAAATAAATAAATAAAATAAAAAATCAAAGAAAATATTCAAATAATTCGAGCCGGTGATATGCAGAGAGACACGGCCGAGCCAAAATAGTGTATGGAGAACAAATAGCCTACGGCAGGATAGGCCTGATGCAGAAACAGACAGAAGAAATCACATCACACTTTTCATATCTTACAGTTGCCCTGAAGGTCCAGCATTGCTTGGTACCACTCATTTTGGACCTCCTCGCTGTCTGCAGCGATGGCAAAGCTCTCGCTGCGGGTATAAAGCACTATCATGTGCTTGTTCTTGGAATCTGCCCGCTTGTTTATGTTGAAGCAAGTCTCCAGGTTCAGGACTTTTTTGGGCACAGGTGATTTACTGCGGAATTTCTTCTCGTTCTCGTAGTACTCAAGTCGAGCGGGACCATGCTCCGAGGCCGCCCTCAGCACGAAAAATCGCCGGTGCATTGATTTATGCTTGCGGAGATACCCGCTTTTCTGTACATCTTCATAGTTCTGCGGCTCGGCTGCTTGGTTCTCCATTGCCAAAACAGGCGAGCGATGGTTATTATAAACAATTATTCTCAGGGGGAAAAATAATGTCCATGCGTATTCCTCATTTATCCATCGCAACTACTATCCCTCGTCCTCCCCGCGTTCACGTTTAAGTGTCCAGCATGTGTGAGGAGGCGCAGGATGGGGAGAATCAGCCAAGCCAACGCATGTTTTGGGTTTGGTATCATATTGTGAATCCAGCAGCCGCAGGAGGATCCGCGCACCGAGCGTGCACAGCGTCCACCGCCGCTCGTCCCGCAGCCCAGCCCAGTCCCCAAGTCCAACCACGGTGCGGTTCAGCTGCTTAAGGACGTCTCCTCCACCTGTCTGAGGTTGCCCATATCACTCTGTATTCGCCACTGTCAGATTAGGCAGGATAATAACGACATCCCCGGTAAAGACTTTCGAAATAAAAGCCTTAGGAATTGAAGGGAGGCTACAACCGAAGCCGCTTATCCATTCGCGCATTTTTTTTTTTATCACTTCTCTTGAAATGATATGGTAAAACGATAAGTGTGGCCAGCATTTTTAGTAAGTCTTGGGTTTGTACACTGTTTCCAAATGTTGAACATTAGAGCTGTGTTGCCTCATCCAGCATCACATTTAGTGATTTTCAGTAACTTTGCTGTGCATTACAATTGGTCTAACTTTTACTCCCCCACAGTTTTGGTGGTACTACAGTAACACAGTGAAATGTAACACATCACGGTTACATTTCTCTGTAAGAAACTAATGTAGCTTTGCTGATTTTAAATTCAGATTCACTTTTGTTCAATTGGTTAAATTTAAGAGAGAAGAGCCTACTCCCAGTGCCTTGCTAAGATTATTATTTTTTCCTCTCTGGGCTGCTTTTACACAAACTGTGCCGTTGGCTTTGCAGTAGTACCATAATAAAGATGGTAAGAGAAGGATCTTATGATCTAATATGACCCTTGTAAGCAAAGGGATTTGTGCTGATATGTGGGCATATATAAGTTTTTATTGTTAATCAAGTGGCATGTGCTTGTCGTATTAACATAAACGTAAAGTTAATTAAATCAGTGAAGTTCAATATGCATTTAAACATTACAGATTTTAAAAATTTAAAAGCTGAATTTCAGTTTCTTTTTCTAAATAATGACCTCAACACAGCTCACCAATGATCGTTTGAGAAAGAGTAACGGGAAGTTACAGGAGCAGTCAACACTGCAGTAGATTCACAGCTGCGTTATATGGATTCTAATATCCTGCTGGTTCAAGAAGACAGAGTATTGTGACAAATGTATCGACTGCACTAATGTGAGTTGTATTGTGAAAGACAACTTGCTCTGTTTCCGCTCTCCCCCGCCTCTCTGTGGCTGACTTGACTTGCATCCGTTAGACTGACACCTCCAAGCCGGTGCCAGTCAAATGCCAGGGGTGCTTCGGGGCTGCTGAGGTGCACAGACCAGGAACGCGGCGTTCAGACCACGAACACTTGGTGCGTGGCGCTGTGTGGACGGTCGGCCAGTTTATATCGTTTCCAGCAGATTTTACCCAGTTGGCTGTACAAAGACACGAGGAAAACAACTGCAGAACGTGCTGCTTGAGAGGTCGAGGATACGCAGCCATAGGCCAAATACATTTTGGGGGTAGTCGAATGTCAAGCAGCCATTAAATTCATATGTGCGTATTTTATGCAGAGTCCGCTGTAGAGTCCACGGAATCTGCTGGCAAAATGCAATTTTTATAAGCAATTTTATATGCAATTTTTATATGTGTGAATGTGTGAGTGAATGGGTGGATGACTGGATATGTAAAGCGCTTTGGGGTCCTTAGGGACTAGTAAAGCGCTATATAAATACAGGCCATTTACCATTTACCATAACAATAGCTAGAAAATCGTTACCCTTTTTCACGTTTAGAAAACCCAGTTAACCCAATTAATTCGTTCTGTTCAATTCCAGTTATTTTTAATAACAAAAACGCGTAAGAAAAAAGGGGAAACAAACAAATTATTAATAATAATCACATATTTCTGGAACTACTGATAAAATGGGTTGCCTTGGCGATCAGTTGCGAAATGTCGTGGTTGAATTTGAAGATAATAAACACAAGTCAGATACACTCATCAGCAGGCTACATCATACTGCCCTATTGTTGTTTAACAGTCTTATCTGCTGGGAGCAACAAACACACTTAAACAGAACCGGGATTTCACACAATAGGGTTGTGATAAGCTTGTGAATGTGGATTTAAGGTAGTTTTTTTTATATAATTATTATTATGATCCATAAATACGGAGATAATGCAGAAATACTAATGTATAAAGCATAAGCTGATTTCTATCCAAGCAGTAAATCAACTATAATAAATAGCAGTTCAGAAAGATTCTGTCTCATGCTGTAGATGATAGTCTGTAGTTAAATCTGAGGGGTGTGATTGCACCAAAAAGTGCCAAAAAAGGTTTGGCACAGCAACCTGTCAACATGTCCTCATAGCAGCCCTTGTTAGTGGCAGTAGAAAGAATTGCTTTTGAGCTGTCATTGTCCTCGGGGACAATTCCTGGTAGCGGCGCAGACACAGTCTGTTCTTAAATTTGTTTACAATGTGCAGGGTATTGCATAGAAGTTGCATTATGTAAAGCCTTCCTTACATTTTCATTTGATTGTTCCACTACAGAATAAAGCAGAGTCGCACCAGCCCAAGTAAGGTCAAAGCTTGTTAGCATCACTGGCTCAGCAAAGTGGGGAGTTTCACGACTCACACTGAGCTGCTGCATTTTCTTAAATAAGCGTAGTTTTAATGTAGCTCATGGTTTAATGCTCCATCAGCACTGCTTCAAACCTTATACCCTTAAAACATGCATGAACAGATTTCACAGCTTCAACCTACCTGTGATTTATATTGTGATTTACTGTTTTTTTTACTGAATTTTATTGGCTCATTTCAAAAGCATATTGCAGTGTAGCGTCAGGGCATCATCTGGGAAAATATCCGCGACACACTCAGCAGTAGGCAGACAAACATTAAGAAGACACAATCTTCACTAAAACACATTTTATTTACAGAAACACAGTGATATCACTTTGAAAATGAACAATACAGTGCATTCAGTATTGATGAGATCTATGTGTTTGGCAAATTGTTTAAAAAAAGGAGTAGGTCTTACCTATAGGCCTACCACAGAATTAAATGAAAGAAAGAAATATTCAGACCACTTTCCCCATGTTTGTCCTCTTGATTCGGGACCTTCCAGGTTGTCTTCATCTGGGGTTTAATCACGCCTGGAAAGGGTGCTAAACACTTAATGGTGTGAAAGACTACACCACATGCAACCTGATAATCAAGTCATCAGACCTCTGTTTTTTTGTCCATATGCTGAGCTGCTGCGACAAACTGCTGTAGGTTAAAAGTGGCCAGCAGCCAGCTGCCTGCAGCCTGAAAACTGCTTTTAGAGGAAAATCACATCCTCACATTGTCTGCCTATTGTTGCTTCAATATCAGTGCCGTGGCAGACAATTAGCAAGGCGACACAGAGTGAGAGAACAATGTGGCTGCTGGCTTTTTGAATACACCGTGATAAAACCCTCATGTTTTGTTGATATCTCCTGTTGTGTCAGGGGTTTAGGGAACTCGAGCAGGAAACATTTCAAAAATCCCCTAAACCTGCAGGACACAAAGAAAAAATAACTATGTACACATGTACAGTATATACATCCCCAAGCCAAAGACAAGTGACTCAGAGGACTCCACCCTCCTGTTCTCCTATTTTCCTCTTCACATGCATCTGCGATATGTTCTGTAAAACAGGATTCCCTAGGGATGGGCATCGGAGGTGGACGTGCAATCTCAGAGGAACTTTAGATACTGCCGCAGTTTGGAGAGTTCCCAAACAAAAATTCAGACATTTTCCTGCAGAAGATGGCGATACACATGAAAAATCCAAGTCTGCTGAAGCATGTTATTAGAGATCATTTCAGTCAATTGATTCAAACGTTCTGTGCATCAGTGCAGAACACACATACTGTATTAAATAAGGTCTTCCTATTACTGTCTTGTTAAGACCCCGTTGAACACGCAGCACGTTCAGTCATGCATGCAGCGTGTTTCAGTAATAGGCTGCATGCAGTGTTAGTGCACTGTTAGTGACAAATGGTTTGGGCCTTACATCCTTTATGTTTTGATAGAAAATGTCAACATAGTGTAAAGCAGTTCACATTTAATTAGAAAGAACACACAGCTAATGTTCTCACAAAGAAAAGAGAGTATTACAGCGAGAGAAGCATAACGCCGATGCGCATGATAAAGAAGAATAGGATAAAGAAGTATTTGTTATTAAGTGGTGTGTTTGATGAATTTTTAAATTTACTGTTTTCAAAACTTAAAAAAGCAAACACAAAAAATATTAATTTTTTTGATTAATATTGCGAATTACAATCATTTACTTACATTCACAAACAGAAAAGAATAATTTAAGTGGTCGAATCATTTCAGTTCAGATCAGAATTTTTTTGTTTTAAATGAGTTTTTGTCAGATTTCTAAAAATATTTATGCTTACTTGCATAAATAAATTTGTTAAGCACTGCATATTGTTGATATCCAGCTAGAAACAAACAGGCCACAGATGTAAATCAAATTTTTAAAGACCAAGTGGCCAAAGAGGAATTGTGTTTATTTTTTAGATATATTTTAATAAAACTATAAAATATTAAATCCACCATGTTTTAATGTATATATAGATTTTGATCACTTTTGGGTGGCATGGCTTCTTCCATCATCTGTAAACAACACTGCCGCTACAAAAGCAAAATCAGAGCTACCCTCGACCTGAGCTCCGAATGTGCTATCCAGGTTTGCAGCTGAAATTGCTATAAAAATGTATTAATGTTTTCATTCTGTGCTGCTGTGACAGGGTTAATGCCTCTAAAGTGAGTCCAGTGTAGACACCATTATAGCTGAGATGAATAATCAGGCAGTAATAGCTTCCACCATTAAGGTGTTTATGACAGCATCCCTCCAGAATCTCTATAAAGCACGTGGTTCAGTACAAATACATACAGTACAGTACACCAGCATTACACATAATACTGTAATCATATTTGTAGACACCTTCATCGTTACGCCTTTCTGTTAGGCAAAATGTGCTGTTCTATAAACCTACACTTTTTGGATCTGCAGTGTCACTTTTGTCTATTTTTGGTATAAAACATCCAATAAACATATAGAGCATAGACAGTTTCACCTACTTTTTTCATACAAGAGCAAAGGATTGATTGATGTGATTAATATAGAAATTTTCTTTAGTCTTGTGTGTAGTTGCTGTCAGATATTGCATGTTCAACTTTTCAGTCAATGATCTACCTCTGATCACTTTCCAATGATAAACCACGGGCTAGTTTGTCTTCTTCTGTCGATCCAGGAATTTTTGTCTTCTGTCGGCGGGTATCTCTTCTAAACTGATCACATGAGTGCATCCCCTGCAATAGGAAACACACCTTTTTATGCACCGTAAATTGGAACAAAGAAAACAACAAGCAACTTTGATTGCAGTAACTTTTTCTTTAAAATGATCAAAACGGATTCAGTCGGACAAATCGCATCTATTAACATGTGTAAATGACAGAACCATTCTCTTACCCTGGAAGGTCTCGAGGATCAGGCAGAGGTTTGGTGAAATCCTCTTTACCCACCAACCAATAAGTGGTCTCAATACCTTTTCCCTACAAATAAACAATCATCAGCAATCAGTTGCTAAGAGCACATATCTAATGCTTCAGCAGGTGTAGAGGTTAGCGTCCCTTTTCATTTTCTTTACCTTTAACTCTGTCAGGCCTCTGACATCAATTTTATATCCGAGGTTCAAGCTCTTTAGGACATCAACTGTGCTTTGGTTGACATGGATTCTGTAAGCTGTGCAAATACAGGCGAAACCTTAGCTTTGGTACAGATACACAGTTTAATATAAAATCTTGGGCTTGGAGCATTCCTGGGTTTAAAATGACTAAGTCTACAAGACTGGGCAGAAAACAGACTGTTCTTCTGAGGTTAAGCCACTTGGTGGCAGCATATTACCCATCAGTATAATCATGTAGCACATAACTGTTACTTTAGATTCCGTTTGACTGAAACTACCACTGATCAGTTGAATGTGAATGTTTTTCAATACAATTTTTTAATTACAATTATTTACTGAGAACATTATTAAATGCGAGTTTGTTTGTTTTTTTTAATTTCCTTTTCTTTTTTCCTTTTTTAAATTACAGGGCATTTACTAAATGTGTGCACCTTGTAGAAGGTTGCCAAGAAAAACTTGGTCATTGACGGCATTTATTCCGAAACTTTAAATTGGCCTCTAATTCTGCTGATAGCCTTAAAGGATTAGGAAGGACTCCTCACTCAAAGCCCTATTTAGCTTCAAGCAGCATGCACACAAACTGAAAGACACCTGAGCTCCCTCCCACTATTCCAGCATTAGAAAAAAGAAACATGTGGTTCATACAATCATGCACAAGACACTCACGCAACCCCGTGGACTCCATTCGAGATGCTGTGTTGACAGTGTCTCCAAACAGACAGTACCGAGGCATCGTAAGGCCGACTACTCCTGCTACAACTGGGCCTGCAAACAACAGTACATATAGGTTACAAAGACTTCCTCCATAACAATACCTTAAATATTCTTTATACTGGTATGCGTTTCTCTACAGTTTCAACCCAATTTATGAAATTATAGCTTCTGTGCACATAAAGAAAGTCACAGTATAGAGTCACAAATCCAGAGTATGCAGTGTGTTAATTGGATGACAGCACTCTAAGTGGATAGTGTTTCACTCTTCCAGGAATAAGCTTCAGACACAGATAAAGGAGGTAAAAATGCCTCCTCGTCATTGCAGCTTTAGTCCCTGTGGTCCTATTTCTCTGAATTCCCTTTGGATTTAATTTGCACTGTTTTACTTTTTACGCATGTATTTGGCTTTTATAAACAGGTGTGTGGATAGATCATTATTGACCTTTTTCTTCAGATTAAATTCTAAACCCAGAATTTTTTTAATAATTATTTATAATAATAATAATTTTTTCTTTCATCCTGTCTTCCTTCTCTCTTCCCAACCGGTCATGGTAGATGGCTGCCCCTCGCTGAGCCTGGTTCTGCTGGAGGTTTCTTCCTGTCAAAAGAGAGTTTTTCCTTCCCACTGTTGCCAAAGTGCTTGCTCATAGGGGGTCATTTGATTGTTGGATTTTCTCTGTAAGTATTATTGTAGGGTCTACCTTAAAAATATAAAGCGCCTTGAGGCATCTGTTGTTGTGATTTGGAGTTGTATAAATAACATTGAATTGAATTTCACAGCACGCCCAGTAAGGAATCTTCGTGAGAAGCTTAAAGCTTAAATCACACATTCAGGGTTTGTCACAGCACAGAAAGGATGAACACATTATTTACCACTGTGCAGGCCAACACGTATTCTGATTTTGAGATCAGGCATGTGCCTCGCCTTGAAGGTTCCAATGCAGTGGAGGATGTCAAGAGACATGTTGGCCATTTCAGCTGCATGGCGATTGCCGTTCCTGTTGGGGACCCCTGATGCTACCATGTAGGCATCTCCAATAGTTTCCACCTAGAAGAGAAAAAGACGAGAGTTGAACACAAACTGATACCATATAAGTCAAAAGTTTGGACACACCCTCTCATTCAGTGTTTTTTCTTTATTTTTACTACTTTCTACATTGTAGACACATCAAATATATGAAGCAAGATATATGGAATTATGTAGCAAAGACAAAATGATAAATAACTCTAAATGTGTCTTATATTTTAGATTCCTCAAAGTAGCCACTCTTTGCTTTGTCAACAGCGCTGCAAACCCTCGGCCTTCTCTCAATAAGCTTCACGATGTAGTCACCTAAAACGGTTTTCACTTCACAGGTGCGCCTTGTCAGGGTTCATTTGTGGAGATTTCTTGCCTTCTTAATGGGGTTGGGACCATCAGTTGTGTTGTGCAGAAGTACACAGCTGACAACTGTTGGAATTCATATTAAGGTAAGAACCAACCAGCTAAGTAAAGCGAAACGACAGTCCATTATTTTAAGAACTGAAGGTCAGTCAGTTCAGAGCAGTCACAAAAACCATCAAGCACTACGACAAAACTGCCTCTAATGAAGACCGTCCCAGAAAAGGAAGACCAAGAGTCACCTCTGCTGTTGAGGATAAATACATCTGAGTCACCAGCACCTCAGATTAGAGCCCAGATCAATGCCGCACAGAGTTCAAGTAGCGGGCTCATCTCTACATCAACTGCTCAGAGGAGACTGCATGAATCAGGCCTTTATGGTCAAATAGCTGCCAGTCGCCCTAAACCCAATCAAGATGGTTTGGGATGAGATGGACTGCAGAGTAACAGCATGAGGGCCAACAAGTGTTCAGCATCTCTGGGAACAGTAATCAAAGTAAGCAACGCATGTCTATTTTGAAGAATCCAAAATATAAAACATGTTTTAACTTATTTCACACTTTTCTTTTCTTTACTACATAATTCATATGTGCTCATTGATGGTTTTGATGCCTTCAGTCAGAATCTACAATGTAAATAGTCATCTAAATAAAGAAAAAACATTAAATGGGAAGGTGAGTCTTTGATGATGATGATTACATATCTCTGGGTAGCTCCTAATTTTTTCCCAAAAGGATGACAATAAAGGAATAACAAAGGAGCTACAGGAAAGAAATGACATGGCTACAATAACACATCAGTTATCAGTTAAATCTATGTTGTTTCTAGTAAACTTTGATTGGTCATTACATAAATATATTCTATATAATACTGTAATATAATATAAAATACAATATATATATATATTACATTTTGTTTGCCAGGACAGATGAAGGAAGCAGCAATGGAGCGTAAAGGCATGTAACATGGGGAAACGAACCATGGGTGGTGGAGCAAAGGCTCAGCCTGAGTGCAGCTACCTGGGTGACATTTATGTCATGTGTTGGTATTTCAACATTCACCTTGTAGACATCATGCAGCAGAATGATAGCATCAAAAAGTGAGTAGAGGTCATTGAGTAGGTTGACCACCTCAATGGGTTCACTAAGAGATGAAATGGTGGAGAAGCCCACAATGTCACTGAAGTACAGCGTGATCTGATTGAAATGCTCTGGTTTGACAGGCTTGCCTGTCTTCAGTGCCTGGGCCACAGACCTGAAGGAGAAATGGATAAGTGGAAAATGAAATGTTCAGGACATACAGACGATTGCAGACATTCAGCTTTAGTTCTTATTTCTAAAAACATGTGCAAGAACTACGTATCAATATGGAGTCAACAGTTTAATACAGATCTGTTTCTATATGTTCTTTTATGACTATATGACTAAAATAAATTCAGCTTTTTGTTTAATGAGACAACTGAAAAAAATCTCATCTCGTAGTTTCTGAGCATTGCTTAATGGTACATTTATTAATGTTTCAACAAATCAGAGAATAACTGGAATACACCTGAGCTATTTCTGTATAACTCCACAAATTTGTCTCAAATAATTTCTACAGGGTGCAGCAAGCCTCTGAACCAAGAACTGATCCAGCAAGAGCTTGAGGTGTTGACTGATCTGCAAACCCCAGAAGGTAATCATGTTTAAAACTCAATACCTATGGCTATGGAGTCAATACTGTCATGTCTTTCATGTGCTAATGAAAGCTGATGGAAACTCACTTGGGCAACATCTGAGCCACCAGATTGTCAGTCTTCTGCCTCTCCACCTCCAGCTCCTCTGTCCTCTCTCTGATCAGATCCTCTAAGTTGGAGGAGTACTGTTCCAACATGCGCAGCATGGAGTCAATGATGTTGGTTTTCTTTCCCTTGGTGATGCTCTTGAACTGTCACATGGAGAGAAAAACTCAGCTGTGTCCACCTAGCTACAGACTAACATGTGAAAACATACAAACATGTGTTTATACCTGTTTGAAGATATCATCAAAGGTCGGCCTCCGCTCTGGTTCTTCGCTCCAGGCCTGTTTCATGACCTGTATCACGTCCACCGGGGCCTCCTCCACTGATATGACAGGCCGACACAAAGGCGGAGGCTCCTTGACCTTGTTGATAATCTCTGTCATCATACACATAAGCAAAAAACCCGCCCAGGCAGAAACATTAGTGCAAGATTTAGTTTACCCAGTCTTGTCAGCTAACTGTGATTTAAACTGTTAATGAAAAGTACTAAAAGTAGTAGCATATTACTTACCTTTGGGAGGCATGTCCAACATGCAGAAAGGTGCAGAGCGAGAGATGACCTCCTGGCAAACAATGGAGAAACTGTAGACATCACCTGCAAAAGTGCCCCTCCTCCTCTCACTAGAACTTCGCAGCAGCTCAGGAGCCGTCCAAAGTAGATCTTTTTTTTTTTTTTTATCAAGTGCACAGTTAGTAAAAAATGATACATGCAAACAAAAATTACAATAATAATTATTACGTGGATGTGCATGCGCATGCACTCACCCTCTGGCTTTTCAACTGTGTCAATATTTTGGACAATCCAAATCTCATTGAACCCGTAATCTGTCACCTTCAGCACAAAACGCCCATCTACCACACAGTTACGGGATTTGAGTCGACCGTGGATGATATCGCGATGGTGCAGGTACTTCATACCCTGATGCCAGTTTGTAGAAATGTGTGACAAACATGGTAAAATAAGAAATGAAACACTGACAGATCACCTTATAAATCTCTTACCCGGATCAGATCCGATAACAAGGAAGACTTGAACATCCAGTCGAGACGCACTTCTTCATTGCTGAGCAAATCCTCCAAGCTGCCCCTGGTGCAGTGCTCGATCACAACGCCAAAGATCCCAGAGTCGAAGAACAGCCCCAGTAGCAGATTGAGGTTCTCGTGCCTCATTTCTCTGAGCTGAGAAGCAAACAGTGGCAATATTAGATATAGTTCACTGTAGCTTTTGTGATCAGGGTGTTAAGGCAAATTCAGATGACCAAATGGTTTCTGGCTACAGTTAAGATTCAGTTATCCATTAAATAACATATTTTCATTTACCTTGACAAAGACATTCTCAGTGCTGTTATAGACGTTTGATACTGATCCAGCGGGGCATTTCTTCAGCCAAACCCAGTCACCCTGACATTTAAACAAACAACAAAGTCATCGTGACACCAAAGACATCAAAAAGACTTCAGCTTCTAAACATTGTACTGAAGTTTACTGAATGTGAACATCTGACTCTCACCTCAAAAACAGCAATATTCGAGCTGTCTGGCGTGGAGGCCAAGTAGCTACGGCCGGACACTGAGTGGTGAGGTGTCTTCATATCCCCCTGGCTTTTTGCTATACTGTCATCATTTAGCTTCTGCTCACACACAGGGTTCAAAGAGGATGTGTAAGCTCAGAGTAAACAATGTGCAGCTTTCATACAGTCCATACTACTGTAGGTATGTAGTGCGTGCATTTCAGAGAGAAGCCAAAGACAGCAGTATTGATTCAGCACAGAACTCACCCGCTTGCTGACTTGGGTATTGATGAAGACCAGGTCATCAAGGGTCAGGACCACCTTTGTCGATCCGCTACTGTGGCCACCACCTCCAAAGCTGAACCCAACTTTGCCATCTCTCCTGAAAAGACCGAAAACAATCATTACATATTTTCCAAGCTACACAAGCCTGAACAAAATCAGATACATACCTGTAGCGAAGAAAGATGTTTACTAAAAATCCAATCAACGAAATGAACATCAGGAAAAGCAAGAAGACAGCAGCCGAATTTATGCCTTGGGAGAGAACCACAAAGATAGTTTGAATGCACTAAAGTCAGCATTGGCTTATTTTTAAATTTGTTTTTAGCAATGGCACTACAAGCACAATCACCTCCAGTACAGGCAAAGTATGGGCTAAACCAGCAGGTTGAGTCTTTGTAGGGAGTGCTCCCTGCAAAATGGATTGAACGGCCGAGATATTTCAAGCCCCCGCTCTTGCTGTCCGTGTGAGAAGCATGAAGCGAATGAGTGGAGTACAGGGTGTTGCCAATGCCGCTGTAGTCCAGGACCACATATTGAGCTTGCATGCCTTCACCGTTCCTGCCAGCCCTCAGGGGCTGATTGAATCCTTCAAACTCAAAGCCACCCTCGCCATCGGCCAGGATCCGACCAGTTACCCAGCGGCCTTCTCTATCGCGGGCCTGCTCAACAGCCATAGCTGTGTAGTACATCATATTGTAGATGGTGCCAAAGAATGGAGAAACCTTAAAGAAGGGACAGCACAGTAGCCATTTAAACTTCAGATTTTTGTCTTTTTCCTATCCTTCGAGATTTGTCTTTTACTTTCTGTCATTTCTTAATGAAGTAGATTCTTATTAGATGTTCTCACCTGCTCTGGGGGAGTGCTGGTACGTATTTCATAGCTGTCCTGTGCTTGTTTGAAGGCTTCATAGAAATTGCGTTCACCAGAGTCCATGGTGATAGTTAAAACTCCATCAAAGGCTTTCCGGAGCTTGGTGTCATTGCCCAGCATGTAGTAGGGTGCATCATTGTAGGGTAGTGAGTAGAGAAGGGTGTCGTAGGGAATGAACACATAGCCACGATCAATCATGCGCATAGCCGAGGCTGTTGTCAGAAGTTGGTACTGGGCTTGGCCACCAATCAGGACTGAGGGCATGCACATGATGACCACTAGAAAAGTAAAGTTTAAAGACAGTTTATAATCCCAATTCTTGTGAAATATAGCATGTGCAGGCTTTGTAACTCTATGAGGTCTGATTAGCTTAGTTACTCTACCCTAACCTGAACCCCAACCCTATGTTTTGGAAATTAAAGGAAAAAAAGAATATTCAGATATCACATCACAGTCGTTTTGTTCAAGTTGAACTGTGTTTTTTTAGCAACTCACCTCTGACCCGGTCTGTCTCCCGCACTTTTGTCAAAGCTGCCCGAGGCCCTTCTTTGTTGTTCTCCATTGTGACCACTGGTTTAACAGGCAGGCCGAGGGCCCTAAGTGAAGAGGCCAGCTCATGCCCTGTGGCTTCCCACAAGTCTGACTCCTCTGAGATTATGGCCACGTGGGCCCACCGAAAAAATCGCAACACTGTAAAAATTACATGAGAGGAGAGTGGCAGTGGCCTCATGAAACTAGGATACATATTTCCTTTATTCATATTGGGTTTGAGGCAGGCCCAGGAAAGATGCCCAAGATCCCACTCTTTGGCGTACAAAGCAGCTGAGGAGCAGTAGCCTGGGTTGGCTGGGCCCAAGTAAGCAGCTGCATAACCTTTCAGCCCAGCAAAGCGAGCCAGGGCACGGGATGACTGGCAGTCCTCATTGATCAGCTTGTAGTCATACCAGTAGCCTTTACTGAGGTAGGTGTTCTTGTTTATGCGGTTGATGGCAAGGCTGGCAGCCAAGTCAGGGAGGGCTTTTGAGTATAGTACGTCACATGTCCAGGGTCCAACTAGAGCCATTGTGAAAGTGGTTGCAGAGGCTTGATGGGGGAAAAATGAGACTATGAGGAAGGGCAAAAGAAACCAGTTCCTCCACCAGCTCCTGGTGTGTTGCAGGGCAGATGATAGCAACTGCGGTCTGGATGATAATGACCTTTTTGACAATGATGACGATGCTGATAAAGATTCAAATCGACTACATCCGCTGAAAGTGTCTGTCCATATATGTTTTTTTCTCCTCCCTTTTATGAAGTTGTGCTGCCATCGCGGGTGGTAGGAGAGGTTGTGCAGACAGCAGGGGTCTATGTGTTGTGCCATTTTCTCACACAGCTGTTTAGATGCTTCACACACAGAAGGCTAGTGGTGGCTGTTTAGCGTGAGAGTTTCTCTGTAAATGGGAATGTCTCCCTCTAGTCCAAAGCTGGACAGGTGACAGCACGACTCCAAGCCATCACTGCCAACGAAAAAAAAGGTGGAAAGCATGAGAAATGTTGTAGAACGACATTTAATCTGTGTTTGGGTCCTCTGGTTTTAAAATGCATCTATCAACACATAAGCTAGCCTCACATCCCACTGCGATGTTTTATTTAACGGAACATAATGTTGAATCTAATTAGTTATCCATCTGCTTCGGTGATGAAATGGTGCCCAGTGTCCCTGTCCTGTTCCTCTGAGAATTAATGGCATGTGAGTAACAAGCTGATTAGCTCTGCCCAGGCCATACAGTTCAAATGGCAGATAACACGGAGCTAAATCTGGCCATCTCTTTATTTAGTCTAACTTCCTTTACCCTTCCAAAGTCTTTCATTTCTTGCTTTCTCTGAAATCCAACTTCCTCAAATCAGCTTCTAGAAAAATCAAAAAAAAAAAAAACTAAAAGAAAAACAACAACAAAAAATTTTAAAGTGCAAAGCGTAGCTTAGCAGGCCGTACATAGGTGATTCGGGTTCACCTTTAAGAGACACATAAGCTATTTTCTAATTTTTAACTGGAATTTCTGGCTAATACACACTGAATTTATTGAAATAAATGTAAAGTATCCTATATAAGTGTTAACACAACTGGAAAATTCAATATATATTGCAATTTGATAATTCACATTTTTAGTGGTATTAAGTATGAGCACTGACAGCAGAGCAAAAGGCCTCAGTAGCTTGCTTCTGGTCGGGCTAGAAAACAGTTTGGAAATGTTCCCATACATATTTTTATATACATAAATAAAATATGTATTGGAACATAAATATAAAAGATTTAGTCATCATCTTAACCCTGTAATGTCAAGTGTATCATATTTTATACATGAGTTTTTGAGACCTTTACAGCGTGATTTTAACCCTAACCCATTTATATGTTAAGCAATAAATTCCACAATAAAGGATGAATGTAGAAAAAAATCTTCAAATTAAAGCTCAGACATGCATGCAAAATATTTTTATTTTATTTTTTTATGTGTTGTCTGTTTTTGTCAGAAGATTTAAGAAACACTCCAGCTTCAAACACATATTTTTTTGGGAATTATTTCATGCTTTAAGCTTTAAATGCTGAAAGTGCCAGATTACTTTTAAAATAAATAAATAAATAAAAATAAAGGTAAATCACAGAGAAGTTAAAACTCTTCTAAATTAGATTTCTTGATAAACAAATGTTAAACTACAAATTTCAGTGTTCTTAGCCTGTCCTAAAGCTAAGTTAAAGCACATGAGTAGCAACCATCAAGGCTCCTGAAAGTGGCTAATGCTGACTTTGGCTTATCAGTTGCTAATATCTTAAGAGGAGCAAGGACTAGGATGTACTAAGCTTGTTCTGATATGCCACTGAAAATTGCATCATTTTATTGAGTTAAATACCCCAAAAGTCTATTTCAAAGTCAAAGACAGATCTAGTTTACAAGAGAAAAGTCAGTGCTTGAAATTTCCGTGGCCTCACCTATACAGAAGCGGCTGATGAACACATTCCTTTCATTAATAGTGACCGACCTATGGAAGAGAATTCAATAAAATAAATGTTACAAGAAAATAAATTCTGACCTGGAGCAGTTTTTCTACAAAGGAGCCATGTCAGGGTTGCAGTTTGTCCTTCAGCACCATCCGAGCTCCAGGTGGATTAAGAATACTAAAGCACCCAGCAGGAGCAGTTACCTGTGGTCCTTTGTTGAAAAAAACTACCATATGTAATCCAAAAGTCACGTGAAGTAAAAAGTAAACAAATAAATAAATAAAATCAGCTATCTCCACTTGTACCTAAAGTTCCCAAAGACAATACTGAAAATGACACATATCCACATTTCCAGTAGCTTAGCCTCGCTTTCGTTCTTCCTGTCCCTGGCTTGGATTGGGACCAATCTGAAAGCACTGAGTAACGGGATGGTGCGTGAGAAGAAGCGCAGCTCTGATCCAGAGTTTGGATTGGCTAAAAATAGACTGGCAGACAGCTGGGGACAGTAACAAGTAAATGGAAGAAAGAAATGGAAGAGTGAGAAGGACTGACAAGCTTTGACTTCTTAACCTTCCTTAGCTTTTAATCCACGGTGTGGAAAGAGAGTGTGTGGGGGGCGGGAGTAGAAGCACATCCACTGTCTTTTGCACTGTGTGCTAACTGAGGTGCTGATGTAATCTAGAAATTATCACATTCACAAATTAGTTGTAAAACAACCTAAGCCATCCATCAGTCCTTAAGTATTTTAAAGACTGATGGACAGTCGGACCAATCAGAGCCGGGATGAACTGGTGAGAAAATAGTGCTTCACAATGAGCATGACCAAGAGATGCTCAGATTATATAAGTATATTAAATCAGTCTTAGGTATTAGGAAAGCATAAAGACAAGAGAAGGTATAATATCCCGTGCAGTACTCCTCATACAGTGGGGCAAAAAAGTATTTAGTCAGCCACCGATTGTGCAAGTTCCCCCACCTAAAATGATGACAGAGGTCAGTAATTTGCACCAGAGGTACACTTCAACTGTGAGAGACAGAATGTGAAAAAAAAATCCATGAATCCACATGGTAGGATTTGTAAAGAATTTATTCGTAAATCAGGGTGGAAAATAAGTATTTGGTCAATAACAAAAATACAACTCAATACTTTGTAACATAACCTTTGTTGGCAATAACAGAGGTCAAACGTTTACTATAGGTCTTTACCAGGTTTGCACACACAGTAGCTGGTATTTTGGCCCATTCCTCCATGCAGATCTTCTCGAGAGCAGTGATGTTTTGGGGCTGTCGCCGAGCAACACGGACTTTCAACTCCCGCCACAGATTTTCTATGGGGTTGAGGTCTGGAGACTGGCTAGGCCACTCCAGGACTTTCAAATGCTTCTTACGGAGCCACTCCTTTGTTGCCCGGGCGGTGTGTTTTGGATCATTGTCATGTTGGAAGACCCAGCCTCGTTTCATCTTCAAAGTTCTCACTGATGGAAGGAGGTTTTGGCTCAAAATCTCACGATACATGGCCCCATTCATTCTGTCCTTAACACGGATCAGTCGTCCTGTCCCCTTGGCAGAAAAACAGCCCCATAGCATGATGTTTCCACCCCCATGCTTCACAGTAGGTATGGTGTTCTTGGGATGCAACTCAGTATTCTTCTTCCTCCAAACACGACGAGTTGAGTTTATACCAAAAAGTTCTACTTTGGTTTCATCTGACCACATGACATTCTCCCAATCCTCTGCTGTATCATCCATGTGCTCTCTGGCAAACTTCAGACGGGCCTGGACATGCACTGGCTTCAGCAGCGGAACACGTCTGGCACTGCGGGATTTGATTCCCTGCCGTTGTAGTGTGTTACTGATGGTGACCTTTGTTACTTTGGTCCCAGCTCTCTGCAGGTCATTCACCAGGTCCCCCCGTGTGGTTCTGGGATCTTTGCTCACCGTTCTCATGATCATTTTGACCCCACGGGATGAGATCTTGCGTGGAGCCCCAGATCGAGGGAGATTATCAGTGGTCTTGTATGTCTTCCATTTTCTGATGATTGCTCCCACAGTTGATTTTTTCACACCAAGCTGCTTGCCTATTGTAGATTCACTCTTCCCAGTCTGGTGCAGGTCTACAATACTTTTCCTGGTGTCCTTCGAAAGCTCTTTGGTCTTGGCCATGGCGGAGTTTGGAGTCTGACTGTTTGAGGCTGTGGACAGGTGTCTTTTATACAGATGATGAGTTCAAACAGGTGCCATTCATACAGGTAACGAGTGGGGGACAGAAAAGCTTCTTACAGAAGACGTTACAGGTCTGTGAGAGCCAGAGATTTTCCTTGTTTGAGGTGACCAAATACTTATTTTCCACCCTATTTACGAATAAATTCTTTACAAATCCTACCATGTGAATTCATGGATTTTTTTTTCACATTCTGTCTCTCACAGTTGAAGTGTACCTCTGGTGCAAATTACTGACCTCTGTCATCATTTTAGGTGGGGGAACTTGCACAATCGGTGGCTGACTAAATACTTTTTTGCCCCACTGTACAGGAGACATTTTGTTACCAGAACAGCAACGTGTCACTCACTCAAATATACACATAAAATCTGTGCTGGGGTGAAACCTTCACTTTCAGACAGAGAGTTGTTTTCAATCTTTGCTCATCATGCACACCTTAGCATGACCTTGGTGAGAAACTTTGGCTCTAATGCAGCTGGCTGTTTTATCATTGATGCCCACTTTAAATTATAGAAATGCTACTGACCTCTTGGGTCTCGAGTCTAACAAAGGCAACTGTGTCTGTAGCTCCATATAACCCTGCTGCTTTGCATTATCCCCTTCTTACATTCAGTTCAGCTCTGTTTTATTTATACCACACCACTTGGATACATATGATATTACAATAATGTCAAAGGAAATATGACAATTACCTTTGTGCATTTCACAAACTCTCACCAAGTTAAATGTTGGTGGCAAGCTTCTTCTACCCTTAAAGTGGAGTGGAAAACCCATCACAGTGGTGCTGTACAGCCATCAAACTCATATCAGGAACATGCAGCTCCAGATCAAGATGTACTTGCAGATGGAGAGGGAGGAAAGAGACAAGACAGACAGAGAGAAAGAGGACAAAACACAAACCACAAACTTAAGCCTCGAAAACATTAAGTTACGTTAACTTAAGAGGGGTGAACTACACTAACTTGTTTATTTTGAGTTTGCAGTGCTCGAGTAGGATAAGTCATTTGAAGTTAATATGGTACATCCAAGCAAAAGTTAATTACACTTCATACAAATCCTCCGTTAAGCAGATATTACAGTAGCACACACTGAAAGCAACATTATGCAGCCACAAGAGGTCTAAACACAACACAGCTGAAATAATAATCATGAGCCCCGTGAGTTTTTGCATTTGCTATTGCAGAAGTATTACATAATTCGTAAAAACAAGCACAAATTCAGTAAATTAAATGAAACAAGTTTGCACAACTGCACTGCTCTGTATGCAGGTGAAATGTGCAGATAACTCAGTGTAAGCAACTAAACCTTTCGATTAGCATGGAATAAGTGAAATGCAATCAATTGAATCATGGAAATACTTTAAATGTCCTTCTTTGGATCAAGTGAGTGCACTGTACAAATTAGCACAGTGGCATTTATAGTGTATGCCACGAGTGCATGTTTATAACATGAAATAGCTACATTTATATGGAGTTCAGGGAGCTGGTTACATGCTATTCAGATAGCTGAGCTCTGCTTCCCATTCTACTTTTGGAAACTGTAAGTCCAACAAGTGCTCTGTTAGGATAATATGGGTATGTGAGGTCTTGAAGAACCTGGTCATTCGGGGTTTTAAATTTGAGGAGAAGGATTTTACACCAGTTTTTTCAATTTTTGGAAGTGTGCTCAGCAATTTCACTATGGCACTGCTGACCAGTCAGAGCATCTCAGAGATATATAGGAGCAGGTTGATGGTAAAGAATTACAAAAGAATTAACAATGCACGGACTCTGGCATCACTCTGAGACAGGGTTCTTAAATTAGATATTATTGCACAGATGAAAGAAGGTGGCCCCAAAGAGTTGTTTTATGTTATCAAGGACTCCAAACTTCTGCTATCACCAAACACATGAACCTTTGGACTACTGACTCATCATCTACTCAAACAAACTGTCAATAAGACAGAAAGCAGCATAGTGTGCTTCCTATAAACCCAATGGTACTTTCCAGTTTCAGTAATAAATCGTTGAGATCACTGGCATTAAATAAAATGATTCTCTTGTCCGTCAGTCTTTAAGAAGATTGTAAACTTTCACCAGTTCTGTTTAAACTGTTTCTCTGACAGAAACAATTCACGACCATTTGCAACCATTTTTTAAAGGATTTCAGCTATACTGGGGCAGGATTTAGGTCGATAAGTGGCTGAAACGCTTGGATTGAATGAATCCTTTATTAAGTAGAGGTTTAATTACATCGGCTTTACAGCCTGTGAAACCTAGTTTGTTGATAATGCTAAAACGTACCTGTAATTTTTAAAAAATATTATCATTAAGCCAATTACACCTGAGATTTTTCTTAAATAACTAGAACCTCACCTGTTAAAACAGCAAATGACTCGAGCAAACACTACTTTCTGTTTGACTGAGGCACTTTTTTCATGCAGTTTTGCATCATATTGTCTATGCAAGCCACTGCAAAATTTGGAATATATGCCTGACATAGTAGTTAGAGTCAAAAGATCAACATGAGCGCAATACATGTTTAAACAGGGAGATGTCCTGGGTGAACTGGTGCACAAAGCTTAAAACATCTGAATGTTATCTGTGGTAAGCCACTCACAATCTGCAGTGGCTCTTAAGCGCATGCAGCATGTTCAGTTCACTGCAGCCCTGCAGCTGGATTTTTAAACTAATAAGGAGGAAGGAAAACGTCACATTTTAAACATAGTATCAACAAAACAAAGACGCCCAAAAGTGATGCTCAAACACATCACCCTCTGCTGAGGCCGAGTACTGTGTCGGTGGTCTCTCCCATATGCAAGTGTGAGGATACGTTTGTTCTGTAATTAGATTAGTCAGGTGAGGCTGTGCTAAACTGGCTCCCTGCAAGCCTCTTAGTGACATGGCCAACAGCACTGACAGAAATCACTTCAAAGCAAGGTCAGACACACGGTCAGCCCAGTTGAGCGAAGAACCTGTTTGGCCTACAACAGGAGATGCAACGCTGCACAGTGCTAACAGAAGGGCATCAGCACTTCTGATCAGTAACTTCCTGACTAATTTTAGTCCTAACACTCTTTTTGTTTGGAGCCTAACACACAATTTTACCCATGTTGAGAGGTATAAAAGGTCAACAGGACACATTTGGAAATGACTCAGTATTTTTTAGTCTTAAGCAAACATGTAGGTCTTAAGCTGACAGTATGAAACTGGCACATTCGCGGTCACGTGGTTCGCAAAGCTGTGTGTTTCTCGGAATTATTTACTTTCTCTCGTGAAGCAGTTTGTCACAGTAAATTATTCATACTCTGGGAGGGCCTGTGGGAGGAGCAGTAGAAAAGCTTAGACATTTGCCTCTTATGTGACCTCACTTAATTGCTGAATTCATTTGGGAGCCTCTGCAAGTGACATCACTTAGTATTTTCAGGGTCAGAGGATTTGAGCTATGAGGCAGGGAATGCTTGAACAGCATTTGAGAACGTCACGTAAAATGTGGGTTAGGTAACAGGAAACCTCCTGTGACTGTCTGAATACACTGTCCTCAGTGAGCTGCTTCTGATCAGAGAAATACATGTAGAAGATGGACACACACAGTGATATAAATACAAAAGTCTGTTATTATTGTTGTTGTTATCATGTGATTTTAATTTTTTTTAATTTTTTTTTTTTAAGTTTTAACATTTACTCTTGGGTCAAGTATAAATGGTTCAAAATGTAAGTCATATATTAAATAGAAGTATATTGACATCAAGTAGTCCCAGCAGCTCTCTAACTTAAATTACTGTATCTGTCAAAAGAAGCAATGACCTGTAAAGATACTGCAACGCCCTCTGCTGGTTACTTGTAGATTTTTCAAAGCGACACAACAGAATTAATTGCATATCGACAGAGGTGGGTAGTAACGAGTTACATTTACTCCATTACATTTACTTGAGTAGGTTTTTGAAAAAAATGTACTTTTAAAGTACCTTTTTTGCATGATACTTTTTACTTTTATTTGAGTGCATTTGTGAAGAAGAAACTGTACTTTTACTCCGCTACATTTGCAAAATTTGACTCGTTACTTTTTAAAAAATAATTAGTTTAACACATTAGATAACATGCCGTCAGTGGAGTTTCTGGTAACTTTTTTACCAATCAGATGTGGCCATGCAGTCACATGATCAGTTTGAAACTGTGGCAGACAGAGCAGCCCAGGAGTTTCAAAGTAGCAGCAGAGGTGGGTCAAGTATCCAAAAATTGTACTCAAGTAAGAGTAGCATTACTTTAAAATATTATTACTCAAGTAAAAGTGAAAAGTAGTCTTCAAAAAAGTTACTCGAGTAAGAGTAAAAAAGTACTTGGCGAAAAGACTACTCAAGTAGCGAGTAACTGTTTGAAATGTCCGATTTATTTTATAAATAAATGCTATCAGACAAACAAAAATAAATAAATACACAAATTTTAGTATTTTCAAAAGGAATATATGTAAAAAGATCAACAAAATAAGGCACAACAATTCTAATTTCAAGATTTCAGATTTTCACATTTTTCAAACAAGCTTTTTTCACCAATACCTACAGTAAATAATATAAATATATAAACAGTGCAAACAATTTCCAGTGACAAGATATGCTGTAAACTTTATAGTCATTTTTGCTCCAAATGGCAGCAGCCTCAGAGAAAACATTAGAACGAGGCAACTTCAACATATGTACATACAAGGCAGCTCAGTTTACCATAAATTGTATGGGTGTGCATCTATTTCTGCAGATTTAGCAAAAATGTGCCATTTCTTAACTCAGTGAGATGATGGTTAAGCTTCAGCAACAGTTTGCTCTCAAGGTTCTTTCTGTGAAGCTCTAACTGTTTAGCAGTGAACAGGAGTCCTGCACGACTGAGATGTCCTTCACAAGCTCCAGATGCAGGAAGAGCTGTATTGATTTTGATCAACAGCTTCTTGCTGTGAGGAAAGCAATGCAATAGATCCACACCTACAGTGAATGGACATGAAAAGAGACTACATGTTGCTTTTTTAAATACAGTACAGATGTATAATTATGATTAATTTGCAGTTCTTGTTGGTGAGACATGTGATTTTATTTTATGTTACTTCAGAATCAGAATAATTTACTAATACTCGAGGAAATTATGTGGGTTACAGTTGCTCCAAGACAGTAACAGACTAAACGAATTATGTAATACAATAGGTTGCAGAATTTGAAATTTTAAAAACAGGACTAATATAACAAATTGCTCAATCATAAATATCAAGAAGACTGACAAGAATATTACAGAGGTGAGAATATATATGACTGACATTTGACTCTAAACTGTGAACTTTGTCATTTGCTATTTTACTGTAGAGCATGTGCAAAAGGGTGTAACTATTGAAGTGTTTACAGTGTATTAGATGGAGGAGTTGTACAGGGAGATGGCCACGGGCAGGAATGATTCCTGTGTGCTTTCTGGTAATCTCAGTCTCTCGCTGAACGTGCTCCTGTGACTAGCCGGCACGTCATGGAGTGGGTGGGAGGTATTATCCACGTTTGTCCTCATCTGGGACAACATCCGCCTCTCAGACACCACCTTAAGGGAGTCCAGCTCCGTCCCCACAACATTACTGGCCTTGCAGATCAGTATATTTAGTGCGTTGGCATCAGCAAACCTCAACCTTCTGCCCCAGCATGCAACAGCATAGAGGATAGCACTGGCCACAACAGACTCATAGAAAATCCTTAGCATTGTCCGACATAACTTTTGGTCAATCTGAAATACCCTTTGGGTATTATAGTACAAATGAACTTTAACCATCCCTCAGTTTTGCTACTATACTTCCAGATTGCTGTTAGAACTATTAACAAGTATCTCACATTTACCTCTATAAATGTGACCTCTATAAAAACTGAAGTTTTGAGAATTCACCCCAAGATCAGATTGTGAAATGCTCTGGTAAATTCAAAAACACATCTCAGATAGCATGTTAAATGTTAAAGTTCATGACAGTACAGTTAGAAAAACATTGAACAAGCAGGGCTTGTTTGTGTTGCAAGGAGAAAGCCTCTTCTCTCAAAAAAAAAGAGCATGGCAGCACAGCTTAGGTTTCCAAAGTTTCATCTGAACAAACCACAAGAATTCTGGAACAATGTCCTCAAGACCAGTGTGGAGATGTTTGGCCACATTTGGAGAAAACCAAACACAGCATATCAGTCAAAACACGTCACACCGACTGTCAAACATGGTGGTGGAGGCGTGATGATTTTGGCTTGTTTCGCAAATCCCAACCTAACTGAAATGTTGCAGCGGGACCTTAAGAGAGCTGCCCATAAATGAATCCCCACAAACCTAAACAAACTGAAGCAACAAAGCAAACAAAATGAATCCACACTGATGTAAGACACTAATAAAGTCACACATAAAACGTTGATTTAAACTTGATGTTGCTAAGTGGTTCTACACAATACTGAATCATCTGTAGCGTGTGTGTTGTTTATATGGGGCTAAACTTTAGCCCCATATAAACAACACACAAATGGAGTTTAATTGAATTTTTCACATGTTGGTAACTGAACCTGAACAAACCTGATCGGGGACACAGTAGTTTATGCTATTTCTGCTAAAACTTAGTGTGAAAGTGGGAAAATAAGTAATCTTGAATGCATGTAGTATTTTTTTTTATGGTAGAGAGGGGTTAGTAATGTAAGACACACTTGTAGAAATATGAATTGACCCATTTTTACACAAAACACACTTTATTTTGCCACGGGGAGTCATTATGGCTCTGAACACTGCAAATGACCCAGTTCAATTTTTATCATTTTAATGATAGCAGCTTGATCACAGCTCTAAATATGCTTGTGTAGCATTTATGGGCTATCACATGTATTGTTGCTCAGACAATTATCGAGAGCATTTTGAGTTTATCAGTGTACAGACGTTGGTTGTTGCATGAATGGATGGGACTGTTTCTACTGACAATAAAGGGTGACAGATTGTAACTGCAGCTGAGATTTATCAGCTGTCAGTAGCTGTCACAACTACGTTATTGCTTTTATCTGCACTGACACCATTTGATGAGTTGTACTTCCAGGCTTTTGACGATTAGATTCACATGTGATTGCTGTTAGAACCTGCTGCATCCTGCAGGGCGTTAAAGGGAAATCCTGACATTTATACGTACCATACAGGACTCGGGTTACAGAAAGAGCTGTATATTGGAGAAAGTAAGCTTGGGCTTGAAGACAAAAATAAAAAACAGAAACACTACAACTGCAGCATGTTTGAAAGACATCTTAACAAAAAACTTTGCATTTTGTGCCATCGGACATGACAGTTACAACTAAGAGCTTTCCCTTGTCGTTTAGCATGCTTACGATCAACTGCAACTTGATGTTTTTATGTTAAGTGAACAAACTCTTAATAATATCATTGTGAAATTATAGTGTACAACTCTGTAAAGACTCAAAAGCTTAGGTGTGCTTCCAAAAAGTGGTCTGTAATGGAGGTTTAGGGCCATATGTGTCCAGCAGGGTCACCTTTCACGACAGCAGCATTCAATCAGGGGTGGGGTAATGTAGAGGAGGAGGGGCGTTACAGATAAACAGTTTTCACTGCCCAAAGTTTGGCAGTTGAGCCACTTTTTTGGCATTTTGTACTCTGAGCTAGAAGCAAAGGAGCTCTGCAACAAGATGTTGTTTGCTGACCTACTGGCCATCATTGGAGGAATGACTGTGACTTTCTACCTTCTGAAAATCACTTGGAGATGTTGGTGTGGATTTAGAGAGTTTGTTTTATCATCAAAATGGCAAGTGGACTTGAGAACATACGGACAATGGGCAGGTAAGGTTAAAGAAGAGGAATTACAGCGTACTCTTCAAATGTAACAGTGCCAGCTGTGGCGGTTTTAGGGTCAGGACTGCAAAGCCCTGGACATGGTACATCTTTTCTTAACATTTTTATCATGCCAACTCTCAGATCATCACAGTGTCTTCGGTTTACATAGAACTGACTGGTTTGCAGTCAAAATACATGTGTTATCTGCTGCTATGTTGGCCGCCACACAAATCTCTAAGCTTATCTGGGACAGGTCTATCTATCCCCAGAGCACAAACTAAACAAGGAGAAGAAGCGTTTAATTTTAATGCTCCACGTATCTGAAGCAAACTCTCAGAGAACTAGAGGCCTGCTGCAGCACTCCTTTCATTTAAATCAAGGCTGAATACTCTGAAATCACATTCTTACATTCCACTTGCAACTTTTACTCTTGTGTTGTTACAGTTCCTCCTAAATGCTTCTAAAATTACATTGTTACTTTGGAATGACTCGTTGAGATGAGGCATGCAAATAAAGTTGCATTTGAGGTATATGTTTATCTGCACTAAATACAAAATAGTCTAATTCTACACGAGAATCTGTAACTGGATCTTTTTTATTAATAGATACAATTTTGCCCATGCTTTGACTGCTATTATTCCAGTAAACCTATCAGATGATACTGATTTTTATTATTCTGCTTTTTGATATCCTCTGTCAACTAGCAATCTTACTAGTTGGTTATCACTACATTCACAGTAATGCTGGTTGTGCCGTACTGCTGATCAGAAATAATGGAAGTTTCTGCTTTGAATCCACATTTAAAAATGTATTTTTGTATAAGGAAAGCAAAACACATTATCTTTGTCCACAACAAATCCATGTTTAAAACTCCTGCTGGGTTTGACAGGAGTGTTGAAAGAAATAAAACTGATCTGACGTTTTTCTGCTTTCCCCTCTGTGCAGTTGTCACTGGTGCCACATCTGGTATTGGTAAAGCTTACGCCACTGAGGTGAGTCATCAGCTCCCCTTAACAATCGCTCTCTCTCCCATCCTACCCCCACACACACACACGCACACACACACACACACACACACACACACACACACACACACACACACACACACACACACACACAGCTATTTTGTAGCCGAGACTTTCTTTTGTTACTTTTGTCACTTCTTTTCACGGAAAACAGAAAGTTGTGAATTTCAGTATCTTATAATGTAGCTGCGTCATTACGATGGAGTTTTAGGTACTGTGTAGTCATGCAGCAATTAATATCGCCTCATGATGTACTGTTGATGTGATAATCATTCTTGCAAATATATTTTTGTTCACGCAATGTGAAAAATTATCAATTTTACAGCTAGCTTATAAATAAGTTTTCACAGTTAATAAAATTGTTGATAGCAAACTCCAAGACCAAGACATGTGTTTTTTAAGTTCAGAATTATAAAACAATTTGACTGACTTTGTCTCCTTGTTGTGTGACAGCCACAAACTCTCTCTTTTTCTCTTCCAGCTGGCACGAAGAGGCCTGGATATTGTTTTAATAAGCAGATGTGATAACAAGCTTCAAACTGTTGCCAGAGAAATCGGTGAGTTCAAGGAAAATACTACTTTCTGCGGCTATTGCGACAAAATAATCAAAAATATATTGTTTGTTTTCGTCAGAGGGTGTGTATGGAAGAAAGACTCAGACCATCCCAGTGGACTTCACACATGGCTACAGTATCTACCCTGCCATAGCCAAGGAACTACAAGGCCTGCAGATTGGAATTCTGGGTAATACATACCCACCTACTTTCCAACTTGCCTTTTTCTTACATACTTACTTACTGAAGCTGCTAATTTTGCATGTCCTTATGCCACATAGTTAACAATGTGGGAATGACCAGTACTGACTGTTTTGCCTATTTCCTGGAAATACCGGATGCTGAACAGGTAAGCGTTGTCGTGTTTTAATGTTATTATCTAAAGTTAATGAACTGTTTAATATATTTCTTCTGATAACAATCCTTTTTTCATTTTCTGTGTTTTTCTGACCAGAAAATCACTCAAGTGATCAACTGTAACATACTGTCAGTCCCTCAGGTGAGAGGTCTTTGTGGGTATTTCTGAGTAATTTTCACAGCTTTCTCCAATAAATAACCACTGATTGATACCTAAATGAGTTTATGTTGTCTCAATTCAGATGACCAGACTGGTTCTCCCAGACATGGTTAACAGGTAAAGACAGAAACATTCAAATTTAAAGTGATTATTAGGTAGCAAGGTATGGGATGATGTAATGGATGTCTGCCTTCCATCTTTGACCCAGAGGAAAGGGGCTGATCATCAACATCTCGTCTATGACAGGTGTCCATCCACAGCCTTTGTTGACGCTTTACTCTGCCTCCAAGGTGCTGTTTCAGTATGACGTACTTGCACTCATTGTTTCAGATATACGCTGACCCCGTCACACTGTAATGTTTTCTCACTGGCACACGGTTTGATGATGCTCACTTGTTGGTTTGTCTGTTTTCTTCTTTATTCCAGACTTTCGTAACATACTTCTCTCAGTGTCTCCATGCAGAGTACAAGTCAAAGGGAATTACTGTCCAGGTAAATTGTGCAACTCTGGTCAAATTCCAAAATTTCATTTATTTATTTATTTTTTCAGTTAAAAGCCAAATAACTCTGGCTCCCTTAATCTCTCCTCAGTGTGTGGCTCCCTTCCTGGTGTCCACCAACATGACAAAAAATGTGAAAGTGAACAGCTTCATGAAGAGCGCTACAGCGTTTGCTCGTGAGGCTTTGAACACAGTGGGTCACTCCAGCTGCACCCCTGGCTGTCTATCACACGCAGTCCAGGTCAGTTATAAAGTGCTAAACTGTTATAGCTTAGAAATGATCCCCTCCAATACGTTAACATGTCACTTTTCCAACAATTACAGAATGCGCTTCTTACAATGCTCTTGCCGGACTGTCTTCGGATGTCGACATTCCTCATTAGGAAACTACGAAGCTCATGCAAGAAAAACGATTGGACCGGTGAAAACAGGGAGTAGTCATGTGACTCCATCTGCACTGATATTGAGGTTGTTTTTTTTCTGCAGGAGAAAATTATCACTCAAATATTACTGAATTACTTCAACTCTATGGTGAATAAAACCCATTCACGACTGTTTTAACTCTTAGACAACAAACTGGTTTCACCGTTTTACCTTAGGCATGTTGACATGGTCAAGATGACCTGATGACGTTCAGAATAGGGATGAAAGGTGATCTGTGTGACTTTGTATGTGGCTTGGTTTGCTTTCAATCAAAGGGTTATTTCATACCCCTGAGAGAGTTTGATTGCTCTTTCATACAAATATGAAAAAGTAGTAAACTGATTACAGCAGGGGTTGGCAACCCTAGGGTTAACTGATGCCACGCCCATAGCTGGACTGGCCGTCAGGCATACCGGGCATTTACTCGGTGGCCCGGTGACTTTTTTTTTTCTTTGTAACTGTATAAACAATGAAAGGTGGTGGATTGGCCAGATGCTGGTCGGTGTGTAAAAATAACTCAGTTGTTTGGTGGTGGCTGTCAGGGCCGTGCAGAGACGTTTAAAGGGGCGGGTGCTTAAAGCTAAAAAGGGGCACATTGAACCAGGCTGAATAACAACAACACACATTCATCAAGAATCTAATATGGGTAACAAGGCAAAGCAAACGTAGCCTATGTTTTACCTGATGGGTACAATGTTGCTGTTAAGGTGTTGCTGCTGCCCCTGCTGCTGATAGTGCTGGAGGGCAGGGCTGTGCTGATCTGAGACTGTAGACATTAAAAAGTCCATAGGAGAGATGGTAGCTGATTAAACAAGTGTCATGAGATAATAACAAAATGCAAAGATTGGTGACAGCGCTTGGAACCATAAGGCAACAAAAAACTTGAGAAATAAACTAGACTGTGAATCACTCTTTGCTTCTCTTCTTCCTTCCATCCCATCATTTCATATATCACTCTCCACTTGCTGTCATCTGAGAACAAGGCACAACTTGCTATTGCAATAAACTATTATTTAATTATCCACACTCAACAACTCTTACACTTAATCTATAATAAAATGATGACAGAAAAATGTTATAGAAGCAAAACATTTCAGTTGTGCTTATTATTTTTGTTTATACTGGAATAGCTCTCCAACAACTGGTACATGTGTTAATGTTACCTGTGCTCTTTGTAATCCAGCTGCTGAGGGATCCACTACCTTTAGTAGCCTCACACAGCTCCTACTGTTTCCTCCTCATGTCCTTACCAGCCATGTCTGGACAATGATATATCATGAGTAATAATTTAAAAATCCATATACATAAAACACACACATGCACACACAGTGACATTTTAGACCTTCTTCAGAATACTGTATATACTGTGGGCACAAGTTTCCATCATGGTGCTGATCCAGAATCCTTCCCTTATTATTTATTACTAGAGCTACAATAATAAAGCAATGAGGGGAAAAAGTAATAAATATGAAATAATGTATTTATGATGATTCCATTTGTTTCACTATCCACTCTGTGCAGGGGCAAAGCTTATTACATTTTTAAACTGTAGAGATACAATCATTTTACTGCTGTAAAATCCAAATTTTGTCTTATTTAAAATATAAATCTAATATAATCTGCTTCTTAATGTATGTTCTTTAAAATACAGCGTGTGTTTTTTAATATATTATAATTATAATAATATTATGTGGACATGCATATTAGATCGTTTTTAGTGAAATATAATCCCCCAGAAAGGCAGGAAATGCCCTGTAACTTACTTTAAAACTAAATATGTTCCCTAAAACGGTGACAGAGCTACAGACCCATGACAGCCTTACCAGGTAGCCAGCAGCTATGACCAGCACTACTTGTGCAGTTAATAAAAGGACAGGTAATGTTTGTCACGCTGTTGCACACACAGCACGCTCGTTTGTTTCAGTTCGTCAGTTGCACAAGACAGCTTACCAACGTGTACGTAATAAGCTAATACTCCTGTGTGCTACACACTACAGTGTACGCTGTACACCTACTTACTGGTTTTGTCGCATCAGTCTGTGTCTCTGAGTTAACTTGTGTTTCTCCTACAGCTCCGGACCGCAAAAATGCGCGTGCTCTTTGTGAGCTCGTTCCCGGCTCGTAACCAGCGCGTTCTGCCGTCAAGGGCGATCATTGGTTAAATGTGATCATGTGACTGATGCAAGCCAGATCCTTTTATTTAGCAAAACTGTGATTAATAGTTAAATATTATTGTTGAGGGGCACAGACAGGACTCCGCACGCACACACACATATAAAAAGAAATAATTAAAAAAAAACAAAAAAACAATTGCCTCAACAAAAGGGCACTTTGGGCACCCATCAGGAAAGGGGCGGGTGCTCAAGCCCCTTCCGCCCCCCCTCTGCACGTGCCTGGTGGCTGTGGTGGTGCTTCCTCAGATTCAGTAACATTAGCAAGTGGTGGAGGCCAGCAGGTGGATGAGAGAAAGGGGAGGCAGGAGGAGAGACCCAGGCGGCCCGCCGGTCCGAGTGTCAGGTGAACTGAACTTCAGGTAAGAAGTTATGACCTGCAGTCCATCTGGGTCAGATATAAACCAAGTTTAGGTGGAGTTTATTTTCGTTGTGCTGACTTTTTACAGTCAGTTACAATAACTCTTACTGCGTACTAGCTAGCATGACGGAGTTTCTATACAGCTGGGTGGGTGCTTTGATGGTACTAATAGTGAACTTTATTTTATTCATAAGGTTAGTTAGTAGAGTTGCCAACCGTCCTGTAAAAAGACTGAATCGTCTCGTATTCAGAGAAAATATTATGCGTTTCGTATTGAGGTGAAAAGGAACAGTTTGTCCCGGACTTCAGCTAGAATAAAAAAAGACACAAAGCTGGAGTTATTCTGTCGTTACGCTGCACAGTTGCCTCTTCTTCTCTCATTCTCTCCCCCTCTCTCGCCTGTTGCTACTTCAATCATGAAACGATCAATGATCCGCTGATCGTTTGTTTATCACCAACTTTGCACCAGAAAGAGGAAACCGCCGGATGTCGCGCTAAACAACAGCAGCACGTTTAAGCTTGATCAGCTGTTGTTAGAATGTATTTAATATTACTTTCTACTAGCTGATGTTTGCTGGAGCCACAGCTGTAAAAGCTGCTGGCCACGGTTTGTATATCTGGTGAGAGGGAAACATGAAGATGAAACCAGGAGATGTCCTTACTGAATCATCAGAGCTGAACAGGTGATGGAGAAACAGGTTTACCTTTTAGGTGACATGAATGAGTTGAAGGGAAGTTATGAACTGTTTCTGAGAGACAAATAACACCAGGATCCTTTTTTATGTAGCTGACAGCTGGTACCTGTGCAGTGGCGGGTCTAGCAAAGTTTTGCCAGTGGGGCCAGGTAGGGCATTAACAGGGAAAGGGGGACACAAAGAAATGCCTTCTTATTCTCATTTAAAATGTCTAGCTTTTAATAAATAATTATCTGAAGCTTACAACCAAAGTTTCCATCTGGTGTAAAATGTATAGAAATCATATATATAACATCGAAGCAGCTGGAATCCACAGCTGTGTGTGTTCATGGAGCTTGCATTTTCACCTGCTGGACATCACTACCTGACAAGTTTAACTGTCTTCAGAACATTGCAGAGGCCTTACTGACAGTATTTGGTTCTACATATCTGTGTAAGCAGATTTTCTCACATGAGTGTCCTCAGGTAGCCGTCTTAATGCTGGACACTCGGAGACCTGTGTCTCTGAGTGGGAGACCAGAGATCACATTAACATGTGTGTCTCTGTATTAACAAACATGCCATATTGGCCCAGTTTATTTTTCTTATCATTGTTGTGAGGAGACCATAAATAACATTTGTATTTTCTGTTGTACAGTTCATTTGCGGTTATGGATAAAAAGTGTCTTTTTTGGTTTCATCTGTGAACAAATATAATTCTATAAAGTGGTTCTATATAGTGTGTAACCGTTAATATAGAGCGTTATTAAATTTATTGCTAATGCAATCATATGGCACACTGACTTCTGAGGAAATTTTAAATGGCACTCGTCATCAGAAAGGTTGCCTACCCCTGGATTACAGTAAAAACACTAATGCAGTAATCAGGAAAGTGAGCAATCAAGAGTGCAAACTGTTTTAATGGGATTAAGATGAAAAGTGCATCAACACAACAACTTCTATCTTTAGCTGTGAAGTATGTGGAAAAACTACAGCACTGTATAAAAACAATGAGAGAAGTTAACGTGGGTGGAGTAAATTATTCTGCAGTAAGAGTAGTGAGAATGACTTTTCTGATGTGAGAATTGCACTGAAGGCAAAGAAAAAAAAATAGTAATACAACTGGCAGATATGTAGATTTGATCTGTTTTTATTACATTCTGTGGTTTGAACACATAAGTGGTTACAACAAAAATATTAATTCACATAACAGCTCCAGGGATGACAACAGACAGTGCCTGTGGCAGTAATTTCAGTAATATTAGAGTGAAGTACTTTTAGAGTCTGCTCTGCTAGCACCAAGTCCAATCCACTTTTTTTTTTCTTTTTTAAATAAACACAAATAATAGCAACAAATGTATCATTCTAATGTCAAAACTGTAACAATTCCTTTTATATCACTGGGGAAAAAATTCATAAATTGGCATGAGGACATGAAAAACAACAACAAAAACAAATAAATACAAATCTGAATGAAACAGGGTCCCAAACAAAAGACGTCTTTAGATCTCTTGGTCCAGCAACCAGCAGAAACATGAGAGCGAAGGAACGAAAGTAGGCAGCAAAAAAAAAAAGTACAAACGAAAAGAACACAATGTCATTTAGAAACTGGAATTTATTCTGCACTCGTTTTTGTTAATCCAAAGCTCAGCATTTCATCACTGAAATTATAGGCAGATATATTCTATATGTAATGCCCTGGGCAACCCGCGCAGCTTAAAACAACGTGCGCGTTTGTTACGAAGAGCCTTTGGCCTGATTTTGTTTAGACAGGTCTGAAGATAATGCAAGAAGAAGGTTGTATCAACAAAAGCAAAGTATTCTCCCGGTTCCTGGTTCAGTTGAAGCCAGTTCAATAGTTCAAGTATATAAAAATAAGGAAATATCATATTTAAATGAAAGACCTCAAGTGCTACTTGACCATCGTTGCTACCCGCATTTAAGTGAACAATGAGATAAGACACTATTTCAATGACAAATCGTACTGCGATGACAAAAAGTCATCACCGCACATGCTCAGAGGTCAGTGTACGTGACTGGGGTGACGCCGTGAATTAGAAGCGTTGGACCTAATTCATTGGTCACTGCTTCCAGCTGAGCTAGAAACACCTGTGACTGGCTGCGGTGTGAAGGAGGTTGAGGTAAATACAGGAAGCGAACGGTAGCTTGCGAGCTGTGCTCCATCAACATGTGGTTCACTGCTGACAAGAAGCTCTTGGACGGAGCTTGTGCTGGCTCTGCGGTGGGAGTGTGGT